TTTTTTTTTGAGACGGAGTCTCACTCTGTTGCCCAGGCTGGAGTGCAAGTGGCAAAATCTTGGCTCACTGCAGCCTCCGCCACCCGGGTTCAAGCTGTTCTCCTGCCTCAGCCTCCGGAGTAGCTGGGAATACAGGCGTGTGCCACCACGCCCAGTTAATTTTTTTATATTTTTAGTAGAGACGGGGCTGGTATCAAACTCCTGGCCTCAAGTGATCAGCCCGCTTCGGCCTCCCAAGGTGCTCGGAGTACAGGTATGAGACACTGTGCCAGGCCTGTCTTGAAATGTTTCTTGACTTGGATGGTGGCTTACAGGGATACTTGGGTTTGTAATAATTTGTTACATTGTACACTATGTCTATGATATTTCACGATTGTAAAAACAAATAGAGAATTAGAAACCATAATATCAATTAACAGCTTTATTTCTGGCTGAGCATTGTGGCTCACACCTGTAATCCCAGCACTTTGGGAGGCCAAGGCCGGTGGATCACCTGAGGTCAGGAGACCAGCCTGGCCAAGGTGGTGAAACCCCATCTCTACTAAAAATACAAAAGTCAGCCGGGCATGGTGGTCCATGCCTGTAATCCCAGCTATTTGGGAAACTGAGGAAGGAGAATGACTTGAATCCGAGAGGCAGAGGTTGCAGTAAGACAGAGGTAGCAGGTAGCAGTGAGTGGAGATCATGGCACTGCACTCCAGCTGGGGCACAGACGAGACTCTGTCTCAAAAAAAAAAAAAAGAAAATTAAAAAAACAGCTACACCCCTCCCTGCCCTATATATGCCCTACTGATATAAACTTAATTGATTGATTAATTGATCTGAAAACCACAGAGGCTTTGCAATAATTAACAACTAGGCCGCATCTCTCTGTTGATTGGTTCATTTTTCCCTGTTAGCCACCTTCTCCTCCCACCTTCATTTGTAACCTATCAGAGCTAGTGCTCAAAATTTAAGTCTTCAGAGTTCTTAGGTCAGAGCTTTACTACAGTAAGGAAATCCAGTGACTAGCAACGATTAGAGTAGAATCCAAAACCGGTACAGCCACTTCAGACTTTCAGCCTTTTTTTTTTTTTTTTTTTTTTTTTTTTTTTTTGAGACAGAGTCTTGCCAGGCTGGAAGGCTGGAGTGCAGTGGCGCAATCTCTGCCTCCTGGGTTCAAGTGATTCTCCTGCCTCAGCCTCCTGAGTAGCTGAGATTATAGGCGCGTACCAGTACACCCAAATTTTTGTACTTTTAGTAGAGACAGCGTTTCACCATGTTGGTCAGGATGGTTTTCATCTCCTGACTTTGTGATCTGCCTACCTCAGCCTCCCAAAGTGTTGGGATTACAGGCGTGAGCCACGGCGCCCGGCCAGAGCTCTATCTTTTAAAGGTTCCTATCTATCTGGCTTAAGAAGCTATGAGTATTTTTCTAATCATCATTGTTTTGTTTCTTTTTAACAGAAATTGTTTTTATGTTAAAGGTAGAATTGCATCAGGCCCAGAAATATTAGGCACACTATCATTTCCCAGTGGAAAAGTGAAATACATAATAACCGCTGATCAATCAGGTGATGAAACCAGTTGTCGTCACTGGCTCTGTTTATATATACAGAAGAAAATGTATTTTGGGGCTGGACTCACATGGTGGCTCACTCCTGTAATCCAAGCACTTTGGAGGCCAAGGCGGGTGGATCACCTGAGATCGGAAGTTCAAGACCAGCCTGACCAACTGGTGAAACTCCGTCTTAATATATGTATGTATGTATGTATATATATATATATATATATATATATATATTTTTTTTTTTTTTTTTTTTTTTTTTCCCCCTTTGGTAAGCTTGAACTTTTTCTCCCTGGGTTCTAGTAGGAAAAACAAAGTAGTTGTCTTGTTTTGGTAGAATAGTAGAGCTTAGGATGTGGATTCTTTTTATTTTTTTTTATTTTTATTTTTTTATTCCCAGCAACTTTGTTTACAGGATGTGGATTCTTATAGGCTTCACATAGCTATAATTTTTTTTTCTTTGAGACAAAGTCTCTGTTGTGCATGCTGGAGTGCAGTGATGTTATCTTGGCTCACTGCAACCTCCGCCACCCTGGTTCAAGTGAT